TTTCAGGAAAATGGAAGTGACATTATCTATAAGGTATGTCTTAAGTATTTATTACTAATAATAGTTATATACATTGTAATGACTCATTTTCTTCAATAAATCAAGGTAGATTTCAAGTTTACACCAATAATTATGTCACTCTGCATTACTTGCATTCTGGTATGCTTTCTTGGGTAGGAGAAGAAGAAAAGGAATTGTGCTGGCATGCTAGAAAACTGCACACTGGAATATGTAAATATCTTGTACTTGGATGGGAAAAAATACTGAGAATCATTGACTTAGACCACAAAATCTGTTTTACTGCAGGATAAGAGCATAGGGATCTAGTTCAAATTCTAACTCTTCACTCAACTCAGTGCTTGCTTCACTACACTCTGTAATTATAGACAAGTACATATTTAAACTGCAGGTGTGTTCTGTAAGAATCAGAACTCTGTAGTTATAAAACACATTCTAGGGATATCTGCGAAAGATTGCGCCCAAATATTTATGGTTTAAATGAAAGGAATTTGGGGCAATCATCCAACAACAGAAGATAATCTAAAGTGAAAAAAAAAGAAATCAGGAATCCAGACCAACCGGACATATTCCATTTAGTAAATGTATGACTGCACCTACTTAGATACGTAACCTAATAGCTATAAAAGAGAAGCTATTTTATGATTGTTTTATTATTTTGTTAATATAAATACAAAGGACATTTGATTAAATTAAATTAAATGTACATTATCTTTTAATTTCCCATGTCTGAAATTAAGGACTTTAAGGAAGACAGAACGTATTAACACCAGAAGAGAAAATTAATGCTACTGTGTAAGGAACTGAATACAGAACTGAGCACTTCTAAATTCAGGCATTTTACCTCCATTGTCTCATGTCTTCTACATAACAAACTTGTGAGGCAATTTTGTCATCTCTATTTAAATAGATGAAGAAATTATGATTTAAAGAGATTAAGTAACTTGCCCAAAATCACACAGAAGAGAAACTAGAACCAAAACCCAGACCATCTGAGTCCAAAGCAAATGCCTCTCCACTACACTACAAACTGGCAAGAAACACCTAACTTAAAATTTCAGGTCTTTTAATTAATACGTACTAAAGAGATGATATCAAGCTTACAGTGAATGGTGATGATGTGATAATATACAGACTCAAAATCCATCATAGTTTAATGTGCATATTTAAGAAATAATTCCAAGTCACACCTGACATTAAATTTTTTAAACCTGAACATGTAATATGCCCAAAAAGGAGAAATCTGAAAATTTTAGTAGAAAAAAACTAAACTTCATTTTACCTAGACATTTTGAATTCTCAGGAAAAAAACTGCCTCCATATTTTATTAGCCATACAGCAATTTTATCTGGTAAACTAAAAACTTATAGAATAAGAAAAAGCAATTTGTTGAGTCTGTCCTTTGTTCTGACTCTGATCTGTCCTCTATTCTTTCCATTTTGCCCCATATCTCAGAGCCCTTTTCTAATTTAGGATAACTGAGCTTCAAGTTCAAGAATGCCTACAAATTTAAGATACAAGTGCAGACACACTTAAAGGAACAACATAAAATTGTACTGTTACAAAAGAAATAGAAGTTTCAGTTATTTTCCAAATTATTAAATTGTGGAATTACTGGTGACTTTTTTTCTCTATGGCTTCTGAATTGATGATAACACATTTAACTTTTTTTTTTTTAAGAGTCTCACTTTGTTGCCCCAAGTAGAGTGCTGTGGCATGATAGCTTACAGCAACCTCAAACTCTTGGGCTCAAGCCATCCACTTCCCTCAGACTCCCTGAGTAGCTGGGACTACAGGCACAGACCACCTGTCTATTTTTAGAGGCAGGGTCTTGTTCCTGCTCTTGCTCAGGCTGGTCTTGAACTCCTGAGCTCAAGCCTCCACCCACCTTAGATGCCCAGAGTGGTAGGATTAAAGGCGTGAGCTACCACACCTCGCCTAAAGCACTTGATTTTTATAATAAAATAAAAATAGGCACTGTGGCTCACTTATAATCCTAGTGCTCTGGAAGGCCGAAGCAGGTGGATAGCTTGAGCTCACGAGTTCAAGACCAGCCTGAGCAAAAGCAAGACTAGCTCTAATTAAAAAAACAAAACAAAACTGAGGCAAGTGGATTGCTTAAACCCAAGAGTTGGAGGTTGCTGTGAGCTATGACACCATAGCACTCTACCTAGGGTGACAGATTGAGACTCTGGCTCAAAAAAAATTAAAAAGTAAAATTAAAATAGGGGGAAAGGGGAGTAAGAAAGAGAAGGAGATAGGGAGGTAGAGAAACTAGACCTTTAATTAAAAATATATATATAAATGACATGCCAAACTATATATGAAAAGCCAAACTATATATGACAAAGCTAAACTATATATGAAAAAATAATAATGAGGCAACCCAGAGACCTATAGATTCTGAAACATAGTTCTTAATGTCAATACTTAAGAAATCAGGATTAAATTAAGTAAGTATGAAAAATAGACTTAGGGTAAGCTAAAACTAAAAAGGAAGATTCAAAAACTTGAAGAATACTAGAATTTGCTGAGTATGGAAAAATTACAAATACATAAATATGTGAATTTATACCCACTTCTTACTTTCAATACAGAACTTACTATTGAAATTCTATATTAAAATATTCTTTTATCAACATAAGACAATACCTTAGATAGTTTTAAGTTTCATCAAAATACTGACTTAAAACTCTCTAGATAAATACTTCAATCTCCATGAAGTAGTTCTACTAAAAAAAGTGCACATCTATAAGCTCTTTTTCCACTACAAAATTATAGTATTAACCAAAACAACATATATGTAGTATAAGATTGACACAAATTATTACCAACATACCGCATATCTCCACAAGATACTCATTGTATAAACAACAGAATCGATTCACACAGGAGTCCAGTTTTAAAACATAACTATTATTTGTTTAATAAATGTATCAGATTTCCTTTTCTCTAATTACCAAAATGCAATTAACCTGCCTGAGCCTTGATTACAAAGTTGATGACTTTCTGCTCACTCACAAGATGGCTTTGAATAATCTCATTTAATTAAAATACTATAGTTTTTATAAGCACAGTTCCCAGTTGCAAACAGAAATAAGCATCTTGTGATATTTTTGGTATTATGTCAGCATTTTCTAGCATTTATGCTGATTTTTCAATCTTGATCATTTCAGTTTCTCTATTTCATTAAGATTTACTATGTAGCAGCTATCTTGAAAACATTACCACTATCTAGGTTTTTCTGCATTCCTTGAAATTTTTCAGAGTAAAATACTTGAGGAAAAACTGGACAAATGTGAAATATTCACAGATCAGAGTAATAACTACATCTACATTGAGGATGAGATGAAAGTGACTTGTATACCAAAAGCCTGAATTGTTCTTTCCAGACTAATGACATCAACCTTTGAAGTAGTGCAGAAGCTGCATTAACTGGACACTATATACTTTCAGATGTTGTATATTCAATGCTTCCAACTGTAAGTGAAGAAGAGAAACAGATCTTCAGGAAACGTCTTTTGTGGAGGAAAACAGAAAAGGTTTCCAAGCATGGCTACAGACTCTTTCAATATATTCCCAACACCCTTGAAAGCATAGTTCCCTTGGCTCATGTGTTCTAGCAGAAAAGTATTCCTGGGTTACAAAAACCTTCCCATGCACTGACTGACAAATGGGGCTCTTCACAAATGTCTTTCTAAAAACCACATAGGTACCCCAGGAATACAACACTGCACTATAATTATATTTTGCATAAGTTTTCTTTCTCTAATCCTGTTCTCATCCTATAGGATATATGCATTGAAAGAAGTATTTTGTAGTCTTTAACTACTAAAAGTATCTTACTGGTTTTTCCATTGCACTTTTTTTCCTTTAAACTACTTTTTATACGGTAGTTTCATTTGAGAAATTTATTACCTTAAAATATCTGGAGAAAGGGAACATGGTAATACACCTTTACAATAGCTTACGTCAAAATGATAGTGACCACTATGAATACGCGCAACTTCTTCTGAATTAAAAATATTAGAGGTTCATTTTTTTTAACAGTAAGGTGAACGAAAATGAAAGGCTACCAGACTTAACAAATTATTAGACTCTGGATAGCACTGCCGTGGATGGCAAAAATCAGTGCACAGTAACCTTGATTGTGCGAGAAACACCCTGCCCCTACCAACACCAATCTAATGAGCGTGTTTCAGAAAGTTGAAGGAAAACCCTAAAGCAGAAAGTTGACCCAAAGGTGCCTCCAAACTCCCTCCCAGCCCTAAATGACAAAGAGACCACAGAGCAGAAATTACCCTGACAGTATTAGCTTCACACTTAGGAGTCTATCTCTTGATTATACTGGGAGACACCTCTAGTCTAGACGGGAGGAGGAGGTGGAGGAAAACGCTGGAAGGAGAAACTGACATCTGGGAGAAGAGCCAGGGGAGGACCCAGCTGGTCAAGGACCCCAGATCTAGGAAGAGCTTAGGGGAACATCCAGAGGCTGGGGGTGACCACCCCAGCGGCTCAGCGCGCAGAGATGGGTGCGGGCACCATGGGAGGTGCCCGCAGCCCCGCTACACCGTCCACACCCCGGGAGCCCCCAGACCCCGCGACGGGGCGGGGCCACCGCGCCCGCCACAGCCCATTCGCGCCGGCACCCGCCCCCTCAGCCTTCAGGTCCCACTTGGTGGGAGGGGCGGGCCTCGCGGGACCCGGTGTGCAGCCCGGCCCCAGCCCGAACCGGGAACGTTCTGCTGCGGGCGGGAGATTGGGCGGGTGACCCTGCATCCTGGGGCGGGGGCCGGGGAGCTGGCCGAAGGCGGAGGAAGCGCTCTCCAAGCAGCTCCCGCCGCCAGGGCCGAATCCGGGCGCCCCCCTGCGGGCAGGGATTGTTGCCCCAGCTCTAGGCTCGCCTTCCCGCCTCTCCCCACGCTCCCCCGGCGTTGCCCCGGGCAACAGCGCCTACCGCCGGCGGCGCGAAACGCACCTACCTAGAACCTGACAAGAAGGAGCCCCTCAGACTCCGGAGCCAGTCACCACCCCGCGTCACGGGGGCCGACACAGCCAATAGGAACAGCTGTCACGAACCTCTGCAGCCAATCCTGCTGCACTCCGGTCTCCGGGCACCCGCGAGGTTTCAACCAATAAACAAGAGCAAAAGGCGGGCGCTGCCGCCCGGCCCCCAACCCCCTCCTCCACCACCTCCCAGGAGGCGGGGCGCGGCCGATTGGCCCGGGCCTGGAGGGGGCGGGACTTGGGCTCACGGCTGGTGGGCTCGCGCTTAGCTGGAGATGTGGGCGCCGAGAGCGGAGGCGTGGGTTGGCGGCCGCCGCCCTCTGGGCCCGAGCCCCGGCGGGGTGGGGTTCTGAGGCCCACCCGCTGGCGCTGCTCCCCGCTTCTAACCTGCTCCTCCCCAGCCGGTGTCCTGGGCTGCCTGGGTGGGATGGGGCCGAAGGCGGACGGCGGCGTCACAGGAAACTTTGGGAGGCTCGCCTGGCCGCGGCCGGGAAGTGGCCAGACCTAGGGCGATAAGCTGAGGCCGCCTGGAAGGGACTATTCGGCGGGCCGCAGCCGGAAAGGAATTCGGAGGGTGGGGGCGGAGGCGTGATTAAAATGTTAAGTGTGCCTGGGGCGCTGGGCGATCCCGGGAGCTGAAATCTCCCGGAAGGGGAGCTGCTTCGGGACCGCGCGTCCTCCGCCCCTAAATAGGCATTTTGCTCTCTCGGAATCGGTTACTCTTCTGGTGTATGTCCCCACTATGTGTTTGCATCTGTGGTCGCGTTTTTTAGAATGCTGTTCAGCTTCTCCAGTGTACTCTGAATCCCTTCAGTGCAGGAACTTATCGTTCCTGCATTCCTACTGACTGAGGATCTGTCCAAAATATGGAACATTCAATGCTGGAATTGAAATGGATGCTGTTAAAAGGCGTACAGCAGGTCCTGGGGTGGTCCCCTGTAGAAAGTCCTTACCTCTTCCAGAGTCTGCAGTGTGTAGAGACCAGTCTGGTTTGCTCTTTCCGTGCGGGCTGTTTCTGAAGTGTACTCCCCCAAAAGAATTTGGTAGAAAGTGACTAATGCGAGCTAGAAAGATTAATAGGCGATCTGTAACAGTATGATAGGTGTTATTCATCACTATTGGAGGGTGTGACCTTCCCATGTTCCTGCAGGAGGATTTTTAAGGCGTTGTATCTCTTACATTGGTTAGTTGAACCACATTCTTTGCCTGGGGCAAATCTAACGTCAGCCTCATACCCGCACGCCTCAGAAACTTTTGAGTTATGTGGGAGCCAAAAAAGAGTGGTGAATATTTTCTTTAAGCAGCTATATTTATTTGGCCATGGCGGACAGCCCTACACATAGAAAAATCTTAAGTTGGACTTTTTGTACATGTTTTCAAAAGCAAATAAACCAAAATATTAAAAATAAGAGGCTCTCCTCCCTGTTGAAAATGGGGCATGATATTCCCCTCCACTTTCTGCTTCTCCAGAGCGTCTGCCTTTGAAAACTTGTAATTGTTAAGTACTTTCTCCTCTCTTAGAAATGTATGTAAATCCTTTTGAAGACTGCCTAGGTATTTAACATCTTTATGGTGCAGAAGTGTCTCTCTAGAACCCTAGAGCCATCTTTTTGAAATGTTAAGTGTCAAGGAAGATAGCACCTCTATCTCCCAGTTTCTAAGAGTGTAGGAGTCTAACTTAAGTGGTTGCCTAGGTCCAAGCTGCCAGTCTGTCATGAAGATCTGAGAAGTTTGTTTTTCTTCTGGTTAAAGCCAATTAGCTAACACAGATGGTCACCGCAATTAACAAATAAAGTTGAATTGTGACAAATTATGTTGTCAAGTGTTCTTACTTGAGAACTAGTTATTGTTTCTATCTTGAAAACATATGTAATGGGTTGTATTTGCTTGTCTATATAAAACGGTGAGATTTCTTTCTGTCTTTGCAGTCTCTTAGCAAATTGACTGTGATGGCCGTGGTTTAATGCTAATTCCATAATAAAAATGTTTTCTTTCAGCTCTGCGCTCCTATCACAGTGGTTAGGGCACTAGCCATATACACCAAAGTTGGCGGGTTAGAACCCGGCCCAGGCCAGCTCAACAACGACAACTTCACAACTGCAACAACAACAAAAAAAAAAAAAATAGCCAGGCCTTGTGGCAGGTGTCTGTAGTCCCAGCTACTTGGGAGAGTGAGGCAAGAGAATCACTCCCAAGAGTTGGAGGCTGCATGGCACTCTACCGAGGGCAACAGCTTGAGACTGTCTAAATAAATAAATAAAAATATTTTCTTTCTCTACTCCCTTTGTGGAGAGAATTTCTGACTTGAGGTATTTTGTTTTTAATATCCCCAGCAATACCTACGCTGAGAACATTGAGAGGATAAAGTTAAGGAAAGTAATTACTGCTTAGTTTTTAACTTGTTCTCCAAAATTATCTCATACTAGTTGATACCTTATCATTGAACTACAGACAGATTTTAATAGAATCAAAAATAATAATGTGTAGCCAAGTATTTTGTAGTGACTGTTAAATGCACAAACTAAGTCTCTGCGAGTAAACTTAAACAGAAGTTAATTTTCTGTGAACATTAAATGTTGTGATAATATGTCAATATGAATGAAATGAAAGAAAGTCTCTACATTACATAGTTAGGTAAAACCAAAATACAACTTTGAAGATTGCTTCACCACTGAATACTTTTCCCAGGAACCTTAGAACTTCCCTACTTATATACAAAGGGAGTCTAAAGAAAGATGTGGTTGATTAGTCATTACATGTTTGCAGAAAATAGCTTTAAATAAAGATATGGTGAAAATAGAATTGTTTGATATATAGCATTTGTGTTTCTGTATATTTTTAAGGAAACCAATTTTTTTTTTTTTTTGAGACAAGTCTCAAGCTGTTGCCCTGGGTAAAGTGCGGTGGTGTCACAGCTCACAACAACCTTAAACTCTTGGGCTTAAGTGATTCTCTTGCCTCAGCCTCCCAAGTAGCTGGGACTACAGACACCCGCCACAACACCTGGTTTTTTGTTGTTGTTGTGGTTGCCATTGTTATTTTAGCTGGCCCAGGCCAGGTTCGAACCCGCCAGCTTCACTGTATGTGGCCAGCCAGCGCCCTACCCACTGAGCTATGGGCCCACCCAGGAAACTAAATTTCTAAAAATAGTAAGACTCTTACTGCAGCAATTCTTTTTTTGGTTTTCAACTATTCATTCAATAAACTTACAAATTGCCATGGTTTATGAGAAGCTAAAATAATTTTTTTAAAAAAAGAAACTTAGAAACTTACAAATTGCCTAGTATATGCCAGGCATTGTGCTAGAAAATGCAGTTTTGAATGAATGTGCTTGAAGGAAATAAATGTGGCAAAAATCTAAGCTGCACTTTTGAAACTAAAAATAAAACTTGCGAATTCAATTTTAAATTGTTCCCTCTGTTATAATTATCACTTTGCATTGCAACACATTTAACAAAAACTTTGGTTCACATAATGTCAAAAATAACTGTACAACTTTATATCTTCTAAATGTAGGAAGAATGAAAAATATAATTTTCGGTCTAGATAATCCGTAAGCTTCATGAAATACTAACCACCCCCACAGTGCCTGGAGGGATCTGTACACATCTCTCAGTTGAAGTTACTAGGATAAAATTTAAAAGATTTGGTTTTATCACTAAAATTTAGATCTATGTCTGGTACTACCATGATTTTTGAAATGCCACAAAGTACTACCTAGCTATTGGCAAGTAAGTCCTTAGTATATATAGTAACATTTTCCCAAATTCCAAATTTCATCTGTTCTAATAACATTATTTAGGTGGACAAATGAATTTAATAATATGGACATCAAAACTAAGCGATTGATTAAAAATGATTGAAAAAGTTCTCTACTTTTCTTTAATTTGTGCACCTCATGGCTCACCTTGTCTCTCCTGATTCAAGAGGAATCTTGGTTGTGTGCCATCCTAGCTCGGTAGTCCTCATGCTTAATCCTACCTCTTTTTCTTCATTTGTCTCTTCTCTTTTCCTCCTTTCTGCCAAGTCCCTGGATTTGTGAGTATCTGCTCTTCACTCCAGTTGCTTGTATCACTTCTAAACTAGAGTGATGAAGTATGCAACATGAAAATCCCATCCATATTCTGTACTTGCTGCACTGTCTGTTTCCAGAGGATATAGATTGCTTTGATTTTGAAAATTGTTCTCTTGAATGAATACTGTTACCACATTTTGTGCAAAATTTTCTATAAAACTTATTTTTGGCTTTCCAAATTTCAAATTTGCAAAGTGGCTATAAGACTTCTTTAATTTTTCAAATCCATGTAAGGAAGATACAGGAGGTGACAGAGGAAGGAAGAAATGAAGGTGAAATAGAGTTCAAATTAGATGTTGAAGCCATTAATCCCATCTCCCCACCATCCCTCCCAGCAGGAGGTTGGCTGTCGTAGCACCCCAAGATTGATTCACTGCTTCCCTGACCTGCTCTCCAGTGAGAAGTATACCACAACCAACATTCCTAATCAAGACACATCCTCACCATGTTCCCCTGTCCGTTTTTTCTTTTTCTTTTATTCATTTTTTTTTTTTTTGAGATAGAGTCTCACTATATTGTCTCACCCTCAGTAGAGTGCTATGGTGTCACAGCTCACAGCAACTTCAAACTCTTGGGAATTCTCTTGCCTCAGCCTCCCAAGTAGCTGGGACAACAGGCACCAGCCACAAAGCCCAGCTGTATTTTTTGTTGAAATTGTCATGTTTAGCTGTCCCAGGCTAGGTTCGAACCCGCCAGCCAGCCTGTGTGTATGTGTCTGGTCCCCTACCCACTGAGCTACAGGCGCCACCCATCCCTTTTTAAGGGCATCTTTTTCTCAAAATTGACCTGTCCTTTTCCTCATTCCCTTATCCCTGGTTCATTGTGCCTTCAGAGATAATTGTCAAATGTGTCCCAGTGAGTGAGTGCTGGAATAATGATTTCTCTATGTTACGTCATCAGAATCACCTGAGGACCTTTTCAAAAATATAGACTCCCAGATTCACCCCCAAGGATTCTGACTTGCA